AACTATGTTGTGTTATTGTTTGCATGCGTTTATTTGTACCTACCCCTTTTAAAATTGATATTTTACCCGTGGAATTTGGTGTTGCGACATCTCGTACGACTAAGCAATTTTGTGACAGAAGTAAACGGTTTTGAATAAATTTCTTAAAATGGGCTAAGGGAATCAGAATAGAGTTAGTGTTTATCAATTGTGGATTATATAAGCTATGCAACGCAGTATAGTTTTTGGAATTTTTTTATTTAATTAGTGGAAAATCTCGCATGAATTTGAGGGTGATCGAAAATTCTCTATTTAGCGAGTAATGCCCCTTGTCTATATTTATATACATATTATAAGGTTATGACTAAAATCTCATTTTAAGGTCACTATCAAGCAGTATATACCATCCAAACACTGTGTGGGCCCCCCTGTGGTATATATGATGAAATCATGCTTGAGTATTAAATTCAAAGCGTATTTCTATCCTGTACGTAAATGCTCTACATCAAGTATGTTTACAGTCATTCCAATAAAATAAAAAAAACACACACAAAAAGACCAAAACAAACACAAAAAAACACAAGAAACGGAGGTAAGAAAAATATCTCTTGAACTGAAAAACACGATCAAAACCAACGTTATATAACCAAATTTTTGTGCAAATGATAAGCGTACTATGCTTCATAATGATTTACACACTAATTGACTAATAAAATACGCTTAAACGTGCCGTGATTAAGCACAAAAACACACTGGCAGTAACAAAAGTTATCATAAGAACTCCAGGACATATTTTGAGTTATCGCAAGAACTCCGTAGCATTTGAAAAATCGGGTATACATTTATTAGCCCGGGCTTTATGTTTGCAACTCTCCATAATAATTAGGTAATTAAGTATAGCAACGACGAAGATCACAAATGAAAAGGTCAATATGTACGAATTAGCAAGCAATTTGGAAATTTTTCTTAAAACTACCAGATTTTTTTTTAAAACGGCGACGAAATATGGACTAAAAGATTTTTTTCTGAAACATAATACATGTAGGGCAAGCTTAATTATCAAAGGTTAATTAAGCACCTCAAACTCCCCATTTAAAGTTAAAAATAACAATTTTTTACGCAATTTCTCCAAGTATATAGAAAAGTTTTCCACAGAAATCCGTAACGTTTTCCAGGAACTCCGTGACAGTTATCATAAGAACTCCAAACAAGTTATCATAAGAACTCCATCCTTCGTGTAACACTTCCTCCCCCGTGAAAAATACACGTATATATCAGCCACGAAGATTCAAGCGTGTAGCTTCCAAACAGTTGCACAAGGTGGTCAATAAATAATAAATAAATAAAAAAATAAATAAACGAACGAACGAATAAGTAAATAAATTAATAAAAAAAAATAAATAAATAAAATTCTGGTGCCGCGATAAAATCTTCGGTATTATGCGATTAGATTCCGCATTGTCACATATTTTCATGAACTGCGTCGGTGGTGTAAAGGTTAGCATGGTTGCCTTCCAAGCAGTCGATCCGGGTTCGATTCCCGGCCGACGCATATTTTGTCTTTGACACAGATTAAAAAACAAAATATATTTAAAAAAAAAACAAAACAATTTTGACTCTTTGATAAATGATAAAAAGATGTTTTGAATACTTGACAGTCCCCGGGATCCACAAACGGAGTAGATGTGGTGGTGTAAGGAGGTCAAGATTCTTTCAATTCGTTGTCCCCGCACTGCCATGGCAATGTTATAGGGTTTCACTATCGACTGTTCCCTTAAAGTCTTTGCCGCAATTTGATATTCCAACATTTAAAGTCCAGGTTATTGCACGGATTCAGACAGTTGTTATTTTTATCTTACAAATTACATAGAAGTATGAAGTGGTATATCAGAATAATTGACAAATACTAAAGAAGCAATACAATGATGACTCTTTTAAATCCACTTTAAAAAAAAATCATCATATTTAAGGTAATTCCGCATTGTCAGCCATGTTTTATTTTCTTTAAGTGGATGCAAGATGAAAATAGGGGAATTTTCATGTAAAACGATGAACAATTTGCAAATTTAAAAAAAAAATTCAAAGGCCATGAATAAAGGAATAAAATATATAAAACTGAAACTAACAACAAAAACGAACATTTTCTTTGAATGCGTCAAATTTCTGAAGACCAAGATTTTTTTAAAAAGTTTTATGAAGTTTTATTCCATTAATGGCAAAATTCAGTCTGAAGTTTGTTGTAGTGTAGACAAATGCTATTTTTAAAAATAGCTTGCAAAATTTAATTCCAAATAGACAGATAGTTATGGTGACATCGCAATTATTGTTTGCACAGACGAGATATTTTGTTTTTAATTAGTACGTTAAAACATCGTTATCGTTGTATGCAGATATTGCATGTAAACATAAGATACATTGATCTCAGAAGACCCTGACGTCTTCTAGCAACTGTCTGACGTCTACGTCGCTGCTCGGCGTATTTCCTTGGACAACCCATCTTTCTCTTGACTGTCTGTTAACTTTATGAACACAAGCAATGCATACAGCATACCAATACACAAGTTTTGAGTCTTGTCATGAATAACGGCTTAGGCTATTTTATCTAAGGCAAATTAAATTTTATTTACATTCTGATATTGAAATCTCATTATGTGGATGTACCTTCTCCAAAATCTACTGCAACATGCCCTCTTTGCAAAGCAAAGGTCTCTTTGCAAAGCAAAGGTCATTTTCTGATGATAATTAATTCATTGACGACGTAAAGCAATCCAGTAAAAACAAAGTAATTAAAATTTGGAACACTAGTATGTTTAAGCTATGTCTTTTTAGCTCACCAGATCCGAAGGCTCATGGTGAGCTATTAGTATCAAAGGGGGATACTTTGCGTCCGGCGTCATGCGTCAACAATCGTCTTCTTCTCTGAAACTGCTAGGCATATTTACCTAAAATTTGGTCTGTAGCATCCTTGTGACACTCACACTTAAATTTGCTCATGTCATTTCAATTGGCCCCTTTAAGGAGTCAACAGAGCTAAAAATAGAAAAATCCAAATTTTGTCAGTAGCATTCCTGGGTAGTCTTTTATCAAGTTTGCTCATATTACATTGTAATTTGATTGGCCCCTTTTAGGGGTCTCTAGGGCTAAAAATAGAAAAAAAAACATTAAGACATCTTCTTCTACAGAAGTAATTGATGGATAATACCTTAACTTTGTCTGTAGCATTCTTCGGTAGTCTTTTATCAAGTTTGCTCATATTAATTTCATTGGACCCTTGTAGGGGCCGCTAAAACGCTCAAATGCCCCAGGTCAAGGCATTTCTTCAAATTATAGTTCAAAGATAGTCTATGCTCAAATTTAATATTAGAAAATATTGACAATGTATACAAAGTCTCTTTATAAATATAAAATAAACGTGGTTTGACTTCACACAAAGTAGATATCTTATGTTTTAATATCATCACACTTTAGGTGGTATTCTTTCATGTGAGGAAGCTATCCAGCTAGCTGACGGAACGTCGGTGGTTCTACTCAGGTGCCCGTTCGTGCCTGGAATAATGCATGGAAGGGCACCGGAGGTCTTCCTCCCCCAGTAAAGCTGGAACGTCGCGATATGACCTATACTGTGTCGAAGTGACGTAAAACCCATAAAAAACTTGAGGTGGTCAAAGTATAAATATAATGATAGTGTCATTAAAAAACTGTTTTGTTTCTTTTTATAGAAAAGACCAATTCTGACGGCTTTTCGCCCCCCTTTTTTAAGCCTCAAACAGTGAAAAAATGCCCTATTTAGGCCCCAAACACTGTTTTTGTTTGAGAAATGTTTATAAAAAGTGATCATTTTTTCGGCGCCACCACCTATCAAAAGGTACATGAAGGGGTTGCCTTAATTGGGATGTGCCTCCTCCTGTTTCGGGGTTTGAAGGGGGCGTAGCCCCTCATCACCAAAAAAATTTTGGACATGTGACAGGATAAAATGGTCTCAGGTCGATCGTAAGGTAAAATGTAACCAACGCTGAAAAGCCTTTTACTCTACCTAAATCCAATGAGACCTTCCAGCACTTAATCAGTTTTCATGGAAAAAACAATGCAAAATAGTGATTTTTGGCTATTTTGAGACGTCTCCCAGTTGTCATGTTAACAGGAAATTTAAGATTGAGCATGTGCCGTTACAGAGGCTATGGTCCAGTCAACATTTGTGCCAAGTTTCATCAGTATTGAAGCATTTTTCATAGTTTTATGGCAGTTTGAACTTGTAACAGGAGACTTTTCAATGAAAACGGCCATTTTTTACAATATGCTCATGAAGTAAAGGGTTAAATAGAAGCGAATAAAATTGGATATTTGAAATAATAATAAAAGAAGCAATATTATTAAAATATAAGAAAATACATCTTATCAAATAAAAACAAAAATTGAAAAGCTTAAAATTAACAATAAATTAGAACAATTGAGATAAAAACGTACATTTGGAACAATAAAACTATAAAATTACAACAAATTAGATAAAAGATTATATTTGAAATAATAAAACTATAAATATTAAAACCAATTAGATAAAGCGTATATTTGCAATAACGAAAATATAAATATTAAAACCAATTGGATAAAACTTATGTTTGAAATAATAAAACTATAAATATTAAAACCAATTACATGTAGATAAAAAAGAACATTTGTAATTATAAAACAATAAAATTACATCTATTTAGATAAAAACGTACATTTAAATAATAAAACAATAAAATTACATCCAATTAGATAAAAACGTACATTTGAAATAATAAAACCATAAAAATTACAACAAACAAACGTACATACAATATTCGATATCTTAATCTGGTTCTGGATTTTCAACCGTTTCCTTTACATGTATCAAAATGCTAAAAGAAACATATATGATATCGAAAGACAGCTCTGAAGAAAAAATAAATTTGTTTTCATAACATTAATTATTTTAAAAAAAGAACAAAATATTATTCATAACATTTTTTTCATCCATTAACCCTGCCAAATAAAGCACTTCTTTAACTTATAAATAGATACATGCTCAAAACTTCTTTGTTTCCATGATATTAAATGATTCAAATAGAATTCTACAAAGGTGTTTACAAGTTGTCATAAGATATAAAAAGATATGTTCGAATATTGATTTAACAATTGTTGTTTATATCATTACTGTGACATTCATTTTAACAACTGTTTTTTGTTTCTTTCTCTTGCTGAAAGCATTTTTCTTATCATAACGCCTAGATCATTGATCCTCTCCATTTTTTCCTCTTGTTTATAGGATATAAACGGTTCCCCTTTTATTTTCACAGAACCTGTAAGCTATAACCAAACAAACAAAAAAAGGATATATATCATTAAATAATCATCCCAAGAAACGGTTACGACGAATGAACCGTCTGAATTATTGCTTCACAGAACAATTTTTTATCGTGAAAAAATGGATATATTAAAAAGATTTTGATTGTTTCAAATATAAGATAAAAAATAAAAATTAAAGTTGGATCATATTATTTCAAAATCAAAATTTAAGAGTATCCTTTATGTTTCTATTAAATGCATTCAATAGATATAAGGCTATAAATAGTTGAAAATTGATTGTTAAAACTATATCTGTAAGTTAACATCGCTTCAACAATGACGAAAGACTATCAAGTGCATGATAATACATGTAATACTAATTATTATAAATAACACAAATAACCAAAAATGATTAGCCGTTGAAACCACTATGGATTCAGGCAGGCTTGTACGTCCGTGTGGTCTGGCGAGATTGTCTGAACAGGCCATACACTGTCGGTAGCAAACTCTTTGCATATATATATCGAAATATCTTTTCATTTGAATGAATAGAAGTAGTTTCAAATTTAAAACAGGGCAAATTCAATTCACAATATAATTAGGTTAATACTGTAACATATTTAAATTTACCTGGTTGCTGCGGACACCAACAAAGATATCTTTCTTGTCAAGTAACTTTATTCCAAGGGTACAAGAATGTAAGGCCTCCAAGGTTTGTGCTAGTTTCATGAATATAGACAATATAGAAATTGTTGGAATTTGAATATCGCCAGATATATCAGATATCTCCATATATTTTTTTCTATTTAACCTTGTAGCAAAATAATGTCTGGCTGTAAAACATCTCAATGTACTTCGTCCAATTTCTATAAAAGTAATTGAATACAAAATAATGACATACTACTGTATAGAAAGCATTTAGCTCTTAAATAAACCAATACCTTACCAAAACTTTTATAAAAAGTTAAAAAAATCAGTTAAAACTGATGACCATAGAGCAATTTTCTGTTGCCATATATTGCTTTGATATAAATTACATAATGTACCAGCACGATTGTTTTCTATTCTGATTTGTACATGTAATATAAATGGCCATTTATAAAAAGCATTGAAAATGGCATATACCTTTTTAAAGACTTTGAACATGAAAGGAATTTCTATAAAGAAATCAAGATACAGTATTAGCCTTAAATAAGACAATTAAGCATGAATTAAGAAACGTTTTCGAATTTAAGAATTGCAAAGCATTAAAACGTTAAGATAGCAATTCAGAGGGAAAAAGAAGCAATTTATCTTTTTTATAGAATTTAAGTTTTCACTGAATCCCATATGAATTGAAAAAATGAAAACACGATACTGTCTCGTATTATATGTATTTACACATTGTCGGTTTTTCCATTTAAATGTTTACTTATATAATTGGATCCCTTAATAATTTTCCTACATTCAATTTAACCTAGAAATTTCTATACTTATACGAGTAGTTAGTTTTACTTAAACTACTTTATGGTTAAAATTTGGCTCCTGCTTCGTTCCATTTGTCAGTCCATACCCTTATAGTGCCCATTTTGTATATTGTGTCTTAAACATTGCCCTCCATTGTTGATTTCTCTTCTCTCATTTAAGTTTGAACCAATTCAAATATCAAATTAAATATAAAATTGATCTTGTGTACATTTTTAACACAAGAAACACTTCTCCTTAGGTTTACAGCAGAAAAATGAAACAGAAAATGTACAAACCTTTGGTCATTTCCTTGAACGATTGTTCGTCCATGCTGGGAGTGAAACTCTATAATAGGAAGGAAACAATATTAAAATATTTACAACATTATCTATTCCATTATATAATGAAACAATCTACTTTAAAATTGTGAATAGAAGTGGTGTAAAAATATAATTTTTTCAATATGTCTTATCATTTCAGGGTTAACGACAAAAAAAGCGGATAACTTACTTGGCCTCCAAAAACTGCACTCAAAGTGTACAAAATGGGATTAAGAGCTGAATTGACAGGAAGTATAAATACTGCTGCCCACGCGTAAACCTCTCCGGAAATTACGTAACCAGATAGTGCAATTATCGCTGTAATGACATTTATTTTATTAAAAATCTTATGTTGTGACTAGAATCAAAGGTAAGAAATTTATGGAAATTTTATCTTTTTTTAAATTATGATATATTTATTGTTTTACTGTACGTTTAATGTCATTGAACTTTTGAAATATTTATAAACGATATTTTAGCTGTGTTAAGTATGTGGTCAATGTGATCTATGCTGTACTACATGTATTTTAAAGATAACACTTAGGCATATAGCAACTAATGTATTGAATATGTTACCCATAAGTCCTATTGGAAACCAGCACATGAAATCGGTTGCTACAACCAAGAGAAGATTCCTTGCAACCTTTAGGTCACGTGTTCTTGCAGTCTGGACAGATTTTGCAATACCAGAAGCTTTGCGAATTTCAATGAAAATTGATAGTTGTCCAACAGCGACCAAGAAAAATGTAAGGAAATTCAGGCAAACGAAGACCGACAATGAATATACCCAGCCAGGCGGACGATCTCTTGTTAGAGGCAGGGCGATACACACGCCAGACCTCGAGTAAAACTCGTTCTTGAAGTATCCTTCATATGCTACAGGAAATATGGCGGCAGTAACAGAAAAGATCCATGTGAAGGTAGCACAAGCAACAGCTCTATCCTTAGACAATTTGGCACGTCCAAATGGAAATTTGATTACCAAAAGTCTATCCAATGTAATAAGGCAAAGAAATAGCACACTTGCTTCAGATGAAATGGTAGAAAGTATCCCTGCAAGGTTACACCAAACACTGTGCCTCCAGTAGTCGTCCATAAAAATGTACCTTTGAATAAAAATTCGATTAGCATGACTACAATTAAATCTCTCTAAAGCAGCTTCATTTTCAAAACATGGTGTAACTTTTGTATTTAGGAATTCTGTAAGATAATGAAACGATTTTGGTCACAGAAATTTGTTATTTATCAGAAGTATTTGTACAGTTAGATAGGGTTATCGTCGAAAATTATTTAAAAGCATTTTTTCAGCTCTACATTACAAAAGCAAAACTATTTATCTCTAACCTTTTCCGAAAAGCAGAATCAGCAATCGCTATAGTGATCAAGTAGGCAGACATAAGAAAATCAGCAACAGCCAAGTTTGTAACGAATATTCCGAAACCCAATTTCAACCTCTTTGTATCATATTTAAGCCTATATAAAATTGTCAGAATATTTCCGACAAACGCCATGATTCCGATTAACCATATCAAAAACTGTAGCACCGAATGTCTCATTAGGTCATCACAGGATGAAAACTCGTCTTTCTGAGGAAAGCAGTTTTCTTCTTTAACATAGTTCGGTCGAATACAACAAAATTTGAATTCCGGCGTAACGAGATTTTTTAAGCCAATAAGTCCTGTGAATATATCTTTGTGGAATGTTTTGACATCATTCTCATTAAAATTAATATATTTTATAGAAGAGTCTCGAAATGCAAAGCTTTCTAATTCACTCAACTTGTTGTTTGATAAATCTACGCTTTTGAGGGTCATCCCCGAAAACGTGTCCGCAGAAATCTTTTCCAGTTTTGCATTGGCTAAATTCAATTCCTGTACATTCCCCAAACCAGCAAAGGCATGCATCTCAATCACTGATAGATAAGAGTTTCCTCGAATATTCAGGAATTTTAGTTGTTTAAGGTTGTAAAAGACATAGTTTGACAGCACAGTAATTAGGTTAAAACTTATGTCCAATGACCGAAGATTCCTGATTTGTCCAAAGGAAAAGATAACTACACGCGTAATGCTACAATATGAAAGATTCAAGACAGACAAGCTCATAATATTTAGATTCGAATCCTCTAAAATGGTACTGAGTCCATCATTAAAACTCAAATCAAGTAAACGCGTATTTGTTGATACTGATGACAACAAAGATACATTAAAGTAAGAATTTCTACAATTGGCAACATATCCAATACATGAACAATTCAATGGGCATTGGAAATTGCAGAGATCTTCGTCATCACCATGCAAACACTGTGCAAAACCATCGCAAACTTGATCCAAAGTAATGCATGTTCGAGTCGATGCACATTTGTAACCGTTTGGACAGTAAACTTTTGTTGTAACTGGAAGAAATGTCAAATATACTTTCAGTGAAGTGAGATGAAATTTAATCCCTAGCAAATTATGAGCAACAAATTTTAAATTATATACTTATAATGCATTATATTTTGATAAGTAATTTATCATAATTCTACAAATTCAAACAGTGGATACTTTAAGTGCTTTGATAGCAGTTTGCACCTGCCAATGCTCTTAATATTAGAAAAAACCTGGAAACGTGATGGCCCCTTGGAATTATGAAAACAACAGTATCATATGAAAACTGCTGACGCAGACCATGTGCATAGTTTCTGATGTAAAATTGCACTTTGATCTAGATTTTAACTATATGGCCAACTTGTCCTTTAATGCACAGCTATGAAATTTCGACCATGTGCACAGTTTTAGATCTAAAATGAACTTTGGTATCAGATGAATTCGATAAAGACCAAGTGACCTACTTAGTGACTAACCTTTCTGCTTTTTACGTACAGCTTTACCATTTTGACCATGTGCACACTTTCAGGTGTAAAATTGAAATCTGATATCAGATGACCTAATTATATTTACATAGTGACCTTTTTTCTTGTTTATTATGTACAGCTATGATATAAGGACAATGTAAACTGAAATATATGGTATAATAAATTGTCTTACTATTACACAACTCGCTAAAATAGTTGGCACCAATTGCATTCAGGTTTTTCCATCTTCTCACATTTATGTCCAACACTTTTGCTCCATGGCTTGAAGATTGCGAAGTACTGGAAAAATTGAAATTCTCCTTCACTTTATATATTTTTACGTTTGTCTCTAACCCAGTTTTACTCTCTTCCATTTCGAAGACAGCACTTTCTGCCGCACCAGTAGTCTGAATCAAAATAAAACCTTTCGTTCCATCGTTTGTAAAACGTATTGAACCAAGAAGACGATTTGCCATTATTTTATACCGGCATTGAAACGATTTTTTATGATCATAAACCCTGTTTATTTCTTTATCTAAAACGTCAAGTAATATGTTATCGATGTTGTAAGCTTGAAGAGTTTTAGAAGCTTTGTAACTCAGTACACGAACAATATTAGTTGGCGTAGAAAATTGTTGAGCGAACTGCATTATATCAGGTCCGTCAGAGGTTTCCTCGTCATGAATGACCAGTATTTCATTTCTGGACGGGGAACAACCTGAAATGTGACATCGATTCATTAAACATTTTTTTTATGTTGTTTGAAAACAAACAAAATGATATGTCACAGGTACAAACAACAATTGACAAGGTGTTTATAAGAAAATATGTCCCTTACATGTATAGCACAGCAAATAAATATATTCTTTAAATATTTCCGTATTGACCTATCTTATCTTATTGAAAAGTGTTTTCAGAATTAAACTTACCACATGACTCTTCATCTTCACCTCCAGGGCAGTGCAGATGTCCGTCACATAAAAACCGTTGTGGCAAACAGTAGCTGTTTGGACATTTGATCATATTATGAGGACATTCATATTTCTCTAAAATAGATCATTAAAAGAATGAATAAAACTTTCAAATGTCTGTATTTTAAAATTTATCATATTTCATATTCAACAATGAACCTGCTTCATTTCTGTAATGAACTTGTCTAACTTCTTACTTTTGGAGCAGTCTTTTGTTTTTGAGATATCCAGATAAAAATAAAAATAGCCAGCTAAAAGTGTATTGACTGGACAGATTGCATAGGTAGGCAGTTTTTCTAGGCATTTTAGTGGTAAAAAATTAAATTCTGGCCTCCACAGGGTAAGAGTTAATATTATCATTTCCATTCATGGGTAAGTTAAACATTTGCTGAACATATGCTTTAACAGCCAAAACATACTACTAAAATCAAACCTTATACATTCATATTATATTCAGTCCTCGAGATTTCACTTTCAGACAGGAGAAGTGATCAGATGGAGCACATTTCTGTTCCTTTTACAGTAATAACACGTATGACATACTTTGAATACAAAGATCAGCATATGCAAGACAGCCTTTGACACAAGACGGTCACACACAGAGGATTGGTAGTCAATTGGACACCATATACGAGAGTAAAAGCAGGGAAAGACAGACAGAAAAAAATTAATGTAAGTAATAAATAAATTAATTAGGAAACCCTTCAAAGACGGAAATTCGATATTAAACTCTTTTTTAATCAAGTGATATCTTTTTTAAGTATTCTTATAATACATGTAATGAATGAAATTTTACTTTCTTTCGAGTGGGGATTTCTTAATAAGCTTAAAACTTTCAAATTGAACTGCATTATTTTATTTTATTTGTACACATTGATGAAATAGATATCATAGTTTAAAACGGGAAATACATGAATGGTGGCGTAAAATTGAAGGAAGTGTGGTGAATAAAAACAGAAGACTTGCAATTTATATACATCAGAAAACAGCAACTGTAAAGTTATATAAGACGTAATAGAATCTAACAATAGGTAAGATAGAGGATAATGAAATCCCAACGCATGGGTGATGGGTTCCATTGGAACAAACCTCTCTATCGGAAGCTATAAATATGAAAGAGTCAATTTGATTGAGGCTGTTCATATTTTCGTATGGAAAAAAATGCAATATACTATTCATTTCATTTCTAAATCTGTACTTTTAAACTAATTGAAAAAGTACAAAGTCATGGTATTACATAGCATACACCTGCATTTATAAAACCCATCAAAACCCATAAAAATTTGATCAATTCACTTTTGCCATGAATTTATTTTCAAAAGCTAAACTGACTGCCTTCAATGAAATATATCTATCTACAAACCACAATCTTTCAGATGACTTCCATCTCTGCAACCGAGAGTAAAACCATTTACGTCCATGTCATATATGCATCTCATTATCTTTGGAATATGTTTCCCATTTATATCACAAACGAAATCATTGTCAATTGTTTCATAATCTGTGAAAGTATATTATCTTGTAAATATTAATAACACACAACTATATTCTAATTATACAAAATAATGAATCCTAGTCTAATAGGTATTAGTTGATTTAAAATGGAGGATCGTTCACTATTTACATGTCTTATAAAGCCATTTGGTACATGGAAGTTATTCTAAAGTGCACAACAATGTGCTCGTGTAAACGTTCTATCTTCAGCAAAAGATATTAATTTATCAATACAAGTATGTCAATAGTTCATAGAGGAATATAGAAGTGTACTGTTTTAATCGTTACGAAGTTTATAACCTGCCGGAAATGATTCACTGTAGAAACAAAACTTACCATGTGCACATACTGCAGAGGAAACAATTTGCTGCATGTAGGTTTGTTGATAAGTGGTTATCAATGCCCGATTATTTACCTGCATTGTCAATGCAAAACCTACCCATGTTCCATTTGAAACAGGATTTTCTTGATATATAGTCCAACTCTGGTTAGCAACGCTCTTGCATTGTTCTGCACTCCGCAATGGTGCATAATCGACAGTTCTGTAAAGAAATATTACGATACATTTTTTCATTCAATACCCATCGTCATGTTTACTTACAATTCGACTTAATATATTTTCACTAACTTTAGTGAAAAATCGGCAAAAAATTGTGAAAATTTGTCATTTTATTTGAATTATTTACTTTAACATGTTCATGATAAGTATATTTTGTATATACTTAGTAAGTTTTTCGAAACAAAAAATTTACTGTCGGAAATTAAATCGATCAATCAAAAGCTTGATACAGAAACTATTAACGAAACTCTTCAGAGCGAATCTATTCACGCTATTTTTATTCTCTTGATATATCAATATAAGAACTAAATATTTGAAAGAATATCCAGCCAATGATGTTTATTAAAACATATCATCCAGTATACTGTTTATATACAAATGGTTCTCCATTGATACTGTAAAGGTAATGTTGCAACTTTCTAGCTGTACTTGTACAGGAAGACCTCAGTTTTTCCTTCTAACATTATTTCAGGAACAAGAAGGCAAATGAGTGAATCAACATTTCCGTAATTTAGCTAAATAGCTTACTTTGATGATTGGCCACTTACGCTAAGACCCAACATGGCAAGTTATTGAATATTTAAAGATGCACGGCATTCCAAGGTAAAATAAAAATCCTGTATGTTGTATTTAAAGAAGTAACAACATTTAAATGGAATTTATATTTATATAATTATTCTTCTAAAACAATTTCCAAACATCCAATAATATGTTAAATATGTACTGCAAATGTTTATTTGCATTATAAGTATTTATTACAATATATGCATGAATTGCTTATTGAAAAATTGGCTTAGACTTTATCGAAAATTATTTCTAATTACCTCCCTTTATAAACATGAGATGTGAATGCGTAATATCTTTACAAAATAATTCTTTTTGGAACTTACAATATTGATAAATCTTCATTTTAGCATCATAATAATGATATAAAACCATAAAAACTTTGTGTTACGGGATCTTTAAATGGAAATTATTATATGATATTTCAAGGTAAACACTTAATGTCGCAATAAGTGCATTGCAAGATGCGTTAGCTATACTGCAATATACTAGTATGTTTTATCTTATGACTTAAAACATAAAAGATGGTAATAAATATTTCAAGATACTTACAAAAAATACAATATACGTGATAAGGCAAAAATATGTAATACTTATTAAAAGAATTATATTTTGCAAGAATATAATTCGGAATGTTATACATTATACAATACGAGGTATGTTCAAATATGAATGCAACTGGGTCAGTTTTCAGAAGTGCTCCATACACGGTGGTACAATCTCAATCCTTCAAAATACTCACCACAATGTGATTGTGTTAGTATTTTAATTTAATTTTTATATGCGTTTCCATAACCTTTTCGATGTATAGTGTACAGGACACTGGAAAATAGCCGAACTGAGTTTTTTTTTTCGCGTTTGATATTTTCTTCAAGCAACGTGTTTTTGAGCCTTAGAAATAGGTTAAAAGTCACAAGGGGCAAGATCTGGCGAATAAGGATGGTGAGGCAGCTTCACAACCTTTTATTGTTTCAGATACTAGTATTCTCGTACAATGCCCGCTTTGTGTGACGAAGCATTGTCATGCAACAACCTGACACCACGGAGTTTTTGAAATATTTCTTTATGAAGGACCTTGCCTTTGTAAAACTTGGCATTTAAAGATTATCCTTTTGGTACGACAATTTGAATAGCAGGACCTTGATTTATAATGAAAATTACATATTATATGACTTTTTTACGCTCGTAGTGCGTTTTGCTTCGCAAGGTTTTTTTATTTCCTTTAGTTGCCTATATTTTGTTATGTATATTTCGCTTTGGCTCAAAAAGTGAGCCCGCGTCTCATCGCCAGTGATGATATTTGCAATTTATTAATTAGGGAACTGTTTCAATAATTGTTTGGGGATTCTTACCCTAGCAAGATTTGGCTTTTTGTAAGGAGATGGGATACATCTGACACTTATCCTTCTCATTTTTAAATCAATTATGAGAATTGTATGCTTCTACAAAGATACCAACGCATTTAGCTATACACCTAGTTGTAAATCTTGCATCAGAAGCAATCAAATCCTTTACTTTTTCAACCATTTTTTACAGAGGTTCTTGATAGAGGGCCGTATTTGGTCAGTTAAAGGAAAACTTTTCTCAACCATTTTAGCTTTAGTATACACGAGTAGATGACGCTAATCGAGCTATTGTCAAAGCTAGTCTGAACTGATTTACACATGTTTTGTATCAATTGAGAGCTTACACAACCATCTATGCGAAACATGTTCATTTTTTCATGCACAACGTGCTTAAAAGCGACATATTGGCCTAATTGCATTCATATTTGAACACCCCTTGTATATGTAACAAATGTTTCAGGATACAAGAATTGCTGGACTAGAACAAAAGTTGCAATATATGTTCTGCTGTTAAATATCTTTTTGCATACTTACTGGATCATTTCATAATTAAAGATTGAACATGGACAGAATCTATAGGATTCATTCAGCCTTACAACACTTCCAATAGGTGGTGGACAGGACTTTGTTATCTGAAATTGAAAAAATGAATACAAAGGAATTGTGCATTTTCCAGTCATTAGATAAATATCTATGTTGTTTTGATCGCCAAAAAGCTGTAATGTTGTTTGCCAATATTTTTTTTCTTTTGTTATTGTTTGCCAATATTGACCTGAGATAAAGTTTCTTGAACTTTATTACGTTTTACGCATCGGGTTTTGCTGATAATATAGATAATAATTATATATACTACTCAACTTTTGTTAAGTACCATTAATTCATTTTTATATTATCACAAGTAGACAAATTTCTTTTCATTTTTTGAAAATTCTGATTCTGCAATGTTTTGTTTCCCTGACATATATCCAAATTGACTAAACCGTTTCAACTCGATTAGGTAGCATGGAAAGCATACACCCCAATATTCCATGCTTTTGGTGAGGGTGTATAAACATGTCTTTTGTTACACGTCGATATTACATGCTTACT